ATCCCATTTCACTTGCCTCTGCCTTTCTCATCAGGTTAGTTTTCAAAGGAGCCTTCTCCAAAAGCTTGGAAACATGGCTCCCAGTAGCTCCCAGCTCACATTTTACAGCTTCATCAAAGAGTCTCTGCTGCTTTTCCTTTACTGACAATTTGAACAATTCCTCCCTAGGCCAGTTCAAGCGGGGTCTCTGGTTCCTGGGGAAATTCGTATCACCACAAAAAGGTAAGAGTGCTGCTGTGCTTGGGAGATGACTAGAATCTGGCACTCAGTCTGCCAGGATGTCTTCTCTCCACTGTGGCCCATGTGACTCACTAGGTCACTCTCCATCTCACCTACTGCTTATCAGTGTCCTAAACATGCAGATACCTTGGTCACTGAGAATTCCCAAGCATTACATCTAAGATTCCCTCCACCAATCTTTCTTAATTCTTCCAGTACAAGTTTGAAAACCCCAGAAAAGGATTCTAAGTGTTTTGGTTTGGGGCAAGTTTCCATCCTGGGTCATCAATGGTGGCCATGATATGACATACAGACATCACCACTGTATACCCCACAGCAAACAGCATTTCATTCAAAGTCCTTCATAATTTATCTCCAGCATGCCTTTTAAGCTAATATCCCACATTTACATACAACCCACACTCCAGACACACTAGTTTACTGTTTCAGAAATATACCACACAGCTTCATGGCTCCATGCTTTTCTCATTCTATTTCCTCTGCTTCTTACTAACATTTATCCTTGTCCTCTCAAAATTATTGTCCTTAAAGACCCAGCTAAAAATTCAATCCCAGTTGCCCTCCTTCTCTCAAATTCACACTCTTTATCCTCACCAATACCATATACTGAATTGTTACTTATCAATGTCTTATCTCCCCCACAAGGTTTCAAGCTCCTCAGGAACAGAGACCCCAATATATTCATCTTTCTATCCTTTGGTACCAAATGCAGTGCCTTGAACTTAGGGCTCAATAAATGTTTGGCAAATAAATGATCCTTCAGAAATATTCACTAAATAATAATGGATGGGAGACAACTTTAGAACCTAATATCTTTAATACACTAATAGTACCAGTACATATGCTTTTTTTTTTTTTTTTTTTTTTCCCCTGGGACAGGATCTCACTCTGTGTCCAGGCTAGAGCTCAGTGGCATGATCAAGGCTCACTGCAGCCCTGGCTCAGGTGATCCTCCCACCTCAGCCTCACAAGTAGCTAGAACAACAAGTGAGTGCCACCACATCCAGCTAATTTTTGCATTTTTTGTAGAGATGGGGTTTCACCATGTTACCCAGGCTGGTCTCAAACTCCCAGGCTCAAGCTATCCATCCACCTGGGCCTCCCAAAATGCTGAGATTATAGGTGTGAGCCACCACACCGAGCCCTAAGTCACTACTGAAAGAAGAAATCTCCATTCTTGGTGGCAAAACTATCAAATATATTCAAGCGAAGTGTAAGATTTTGTGCTGAACCAGATTTTCTTCAATATACTAAAATGGCCAAAGATTTTCACATACACTCATCACTATCTTCAGGCTGGAAGGAAAAGATACAAAAACAAGCAGCTTGGTTTTCTGCTCTTCACTTTCACACAATCCCAGCCTCAGTCCTGTTTTCCCAAATCACAACACAGATTTATTTTTATTTTTATTTTTATTTTAGATTCAGGGGGTACATGTAACCAAATAGTGAAAATAGTATCCAATAGGCAGTTTTTCAACCCTTGACGCCCCCTCACCCTCGCCTCATCCCTCCCACCCCTTTTGAAATTCCTTGTGTCTGTTGTTCCTATTTTTATGTGCCTGTGTACCCAATATTTAGCTCCTGCCTTTTTTTCTGTCATCCAGGCTGCAGCCTCAAACTCCTGGACTCAAGCAATCCTTCTACTTCAGCCTCCCAGGGAGCTTCGACTACAGGGGCTCACCACCATGGCCAGCTAATTTTTAAAAATTTTTTGTAGAGACATGGTCTCACTATGTTACCCAGGCTGTTCACAAACTCCTAGCCTCAAGCTATCCTCCCAAGTTGGCCTACCAAGGCACTGGGATTATAGGCATGAGCCACTGCACCTGGCCTAGCTTCCACTTATAAATAACATGTGGTATTTGGTTTTCTGTTTCTGGAGTAACTCATTCAAAATAACAGCTTCCAGCTGCAACCACGTTGCTACAAAGGACATGATTTCGTTCTTTTTCATAGCTGTGTAGTATTCCATGAGCAACACAGTTTTAGAGAGTCTATCAGTACAATAGACTCAATGTTCACAGCATGACACATGTAGAAAACGGAGGCAAGTATTCATCAGTTTTACAACCCATTTGGCAAAACCAGTGCTCTGGGATAAACTCTACACATCCTCAAGTCTAGTATTCCAATCCAGTGTAGCTGACCATGTTTCAGTCTACTTTGAACTGCTGGCAGAATGAGCTCTGAAGTCTCAACTGACTACAGGAACCTGGATCTTGGTGTGTATTTCATAGCTTGTCCTGCTGGAGGTATGGAATACCAATGTAGCTAGCTACAGGCTACAGATGTCATAAAAAGCCACTGTTGCTTTTATATATAATCTGTTGAACTTGATGCTCTAGAGACAAATATACAGAAGGCATGCAGAAGCCCAGTAAGCTGTTTTTCCAAGTCAATGCACTATATTTGATTGATAATAATTCTGAAGCAGACACCTGGTTTTGGATGGCCCAAAACATACCTAAAGGAATTTTCATTAGGTATACACAACTAAAAAGACTCCTACTTTGCACTATCAGGAAGAAGATAACAAATATTTACCAAGGATTACTTATTCACCAGGTGCTTTCTGGCACATCTTATCTCATTTAATCCTCACAACAACTTAGTCTACTTTTTATAGTCAAGTAGCCAATAACTGGCAGAGCTAGGATTAAACCTATGTCTAGTTATCTGATCCTCAAATCCACATCCTTTCCACTAAACCACACCATATCCTGTCTACTTTGTTCTGACAAATGTAGAACAAATATAGAATTTTGTGCTTTAAAAATTCAAGGAATTAAATGCAACGTGGTCTCGTGGATTGGCTCATAGGACAAAAAATAGACATTAATGAAAAAAAAAACCTGTGAAATCCAAATAATGTCTAGAGGTTAATAGAAATGCACCAATGTTAATTTGTTTAGATAAATATGCCATTATAATGTAAGATGTTTAGAGGCAACTAGGTAAAAGGTAAGTGGAAACTCTACTATTTTGGTGACTTTTCTGTAAATCAAAAGCATTCCAAATTAAAGTGTATATATTTTTTAAAAATTTGGTCAGGCATGGTGGCTCATGCCTGTAATCTCAGCACTCTGGGAGGCTGAGGTGGGCGGATCACTTGAGGTCAGGAGTTCAAGACCAGCCTGGCCAAAATGGTGAAACCCCATCTCTACTAAAAATACAAAAATTAGCTGGGCATGGTGGCAGGTGCCTGTAATCCCAGCTACTCAGGAGGCTGATGCAGGAGAATCACTTGAAACCAGGAGGTAGAGGTTGCAGTGAGTTGATAATCACACCACTGCCCTCCAGCCTTGGCATCAGATAGAGACCCTGTCTCAAACAAAAACAAACAGGCAACCAAAAATTCAAGGAAGTTTTGGATCTCAGATATTGTCCTGAAGCTTGGTACCCAACTGGATGTTTCCAGTGGAGTAGAAACACGTGGTTTGTTTTTTTTTCTGTTACTATAAATTTTAAATCTACCAGAGATGTCAACACATTAGGGTAGTGCAAAACCAAGTTAAATCCTACATCAAATGACATGTTGGTTGACCAGCAATAAAATGCAGCCTGTCTACAAAAAACAAAATCTTGCCAAGTTTATCATGACAGCAGGTGACCTAGACAGCTGCTTTGTAATATGCTGAAGTAGGCATATATGAGTAGCTGGGAAACAGACACAATACAAGGCCACCCTGAAGAAAAGGTTAGGATGATGTCATTAAAATGTTGAATTTTGAGAAAGAGCAGCAGCAGGCAAACATGACTGACCTACAGTAATCAAAGAAGCAGAAATGGATTATCCCTTTTGGAATTAAGATCTCGGGCAAATTACAAAGGAAAGAGATACAACTGCAAACAACAAAAGACTCCACCCCCTACCCCACTCTACTGCCACTTCAGCATCAAAACAGAGGGGGAATCTTCCATCTGTGCTGTGGAAAACGGTTTCTAATACTGCACTGATCTGGATGACACCTGCACATTCTAGCCTATCGTCTTTAAAGAGCTTTTCATATACTTACATTAAAAATGTTCATGTAGAAAACTTAAATTTCCATATTATTAATATTATTTAAAGCTTCGATCTCTTCCACACAACTCATCCGGATAAACATATGGTTTAATATTCTACATGTTTAATTATATCATGTTCAACTCAGTTGTGTTGCCCCCCTCCATGTGGCTTAAGGTTAAGTACATTTTTGAAGGCTTCTTGTTTTTGTCTTTTCAGTGCGCTATTTATACTGCTAATTTTAAGGTTTTCAAGCATTTTTCTACCTTTGGAATTTTAATTTACTGTAAATGTTAGCCCCTTAGAACATTTCCTAGTGTCGTTTTATTTCTGACCCTTTTGAATACAAAATCCTTGATAAAGACATCCAAAAAGGGGGGGGGGAACAGGGACATACTGTGGGGCTTCTGAATTGTCCTCTGAAATTCTGTCATCTAGATGCTGAGGGTGGTCTCTTTGTTAAAAATTTAACCATCCAGAACTTAAGGCCATACAGCTAATATTCCCTCTGGAATCGTAGGGCCGCTCTTTGAAAGAGTTGTCCAGTTTTTAGGCCGCATTAGGTAATTTCCCGCCCAAGAGCGTGGCTCGGAAAGAATGTCGGTGTTTTCCTTCAGGTATAGGTGCCTGGGGGTCAGGGGGAGAGGGAAAGGCTAGGGGTGGAGTGGGAGGCGGGTGATCGACAGGGATAGAAATGGTGTCTCCTCCTCCCTCTGAATGCGAAATAGCCAATGAGGTGGCTCGGCCGGGCCGGCCCGGCCGCCAGTGCCATATAGTATGCAGCAACCGGAGGAGTCACGTTGGGGGAACGGCAGAAAGCAGCTATCCGTTTACACTACTTTGCTCTAGCAGCTATCTTAATGGTGACTGCGTGGCCGGGGGGAAACCTGATCGGCCAGATCCAGCCGAAACCGGGAGGGAGGGAGTGGGCTTTCCGGAGGGGGGGAGGAGGGAGGGAGACGAAGAAGGAGGAGTAAGAGAGGGGGAAAGAAAGAGGAAAAGAGTGCGAGGGAGTGAGGGAGGGAGGAAAATAAACAACAAAAAATGTCCTCTTCCTCCCCCACCGGGCAGATTGCAAGTGCGGCGGACATCAAGCAGGAGAATGGGATGGAAAGCGCCTCGGAAGGGCAGGAGGCGCACCGAGAAGTGGCGGGGGGCGCGGCGGTGGGGCTGAGCCCCCCGGCTCCGGCCCCTTTTCCCCTGGAGCCGGGGGACGCCGCGACTGCTGCTGCCAGGGTGAGTGGCGAGGAAGGGGCAGTGGCGACGGCGGCGGCCGGAGCGGCGGCGGATCAGGTACAACTCCACTCGGAACTTCTGGGCAGGCACCACCACGCCGCCGCCGCCGCGCAGACCCCGCTGGCCTTCTCGCCAGACCACGTCGCCTGCGTATGCGAGGCACTGCAGCAGGGGGGCAACCTGGACCGCCTGGCCCGGTTCCTGTGGTCCCTGCCCCAGAGCGACCTGCTACGTGGCAACGAGAGCCTGCTGAAGGCGCGGGCGCTCGTGGCCTTCCACCAGGGCATCTACCCCGAGCTCTACAGCATCCTCGAGAGCCACAGCTTCGAGTCGGCCAACCACCCGCTGCTGCAGCAGCTCTGGTACAAGGCGCGCTACACCGAGGCCGAGAGAGCCCGCGGCCGGCCGCTGGGAGCCGTGGACAAGTACCGGCTGCGCAGGAAATTCCCCCTGCCCCGCACCATCTGGGACGGCGAGGAGACGGTGTATTGTTTCAAGGAGAAGTCGCGCAACGCGCTCAAGGAGCTCTACAAGCAGAATCGCTACCCTTCGCCCGCCGAGAAGCGGCACCTGGCCAAGATCACCGGCCTCTCCCTCACCCAGGTCAGCAACTGGTTCAAGAACCGCCGGCAGCGCGACCGGAACCCCTCCGAGACCCAGTCCAAAAGGTGAGCGCCAACTTTCCTCCTCCTCCCCCTTCCTCTCCCCCACCCCTTCCCAGCTTTCTTTTCCTCCAAGTGCTCGCAAACATGGCGCTTACCTTCCCCACCAGCCTGGTCCGGCTGCCCACCTCTCCCCGCCCCCCACCTCTCTCCTCGGCCGGCTGCGGTGGGGGACGGCGGAGGCAAGGGGCAGGGGCGGGGGGACCTCCCTCCTTACCCTCCCCCCTCCCCCCAGAAGTTTCTGGTTGCCCGCCTAGGTCTCAGTCCCCGCCCCCACCTCGGCTGGTCACTGCTGCCCGGCTTCCCCCCCGCCTCCCGCTGGCTTTGAAGTTGCCACCCTCTCCCCGCTTCTGGCGGAGCTAAGGAACCCAGTGTGGACGCCGGCACCGCAGCTCTCTCCGGCACCCGAGGCCCGCAGAGGTTGCGGGCGCCGGCTGGGGTCTGCACTCAGCGGGGTCACACCGGGCCTTGAGCGCTCGCACGCTCCCGGATCCCCAGGGTTCAGCCGACCCCGGGGCCAGCGCTGGAGGTCGTGGTGGCTGCTCTGTAGGGAAGAGAGTGTTGTGGGGCTTGCAGCGCAGAAGGGGTCTCGGAAAGTCGAGGTTTCATATGACAGAGTTAATCATTCACCCTGCCCCTGTGGTTCCCTTCGCGGCCGCGGCAGCGTGGGGTGCTGGTGCGGCCCGACTCTCTCGTGTTTTGAAACCTGATTCTGAACTCCTTAGGATCGGGTTTCAGCGCAGCCGGGGTAGCAGGGCTGAAGGGCTGCTTCCTCCCTTGGTCCCCGAATGCTGCTTGGCTCCCTCCCGGTTTGGTAGTTATGGGTGGGGGGCAGGCTGGCTTACGGCGGACGGCAGCAGAGCAGTGGGGGCGCCATCAACGCACCTCCTTGCGCGCCCACCCCACTGGGTTTGAACTTTTTTACTGACAAGCTGTTTTCCCCCTCTGGTAGAAAATACCGGATTTTCCACCTTTTTGTGCGTCTTCCCGAGTCAGACACTTGGTGTGTGCGTCTGTGTGTTTTGTTGGACGAAACAAAGTAAGGAGAAGGTCGCCTAAAGACCTGGTGTCCAGCCCCGCGGGGATAGGAGAGAAAGAATCCAAAAGCAGCTCGAAGGTGCTGCTCAGAGAAGGAATCTGGGAGCCGGGGATCCTGCCCGCCTGGTCCAGGTGAAGGTGATCTCCCAGCGCATTCCAGAGCCGGCCTCAGCCCGCCTTTGACGCTTCTGGGTCCCTGTGGGGGTCCGACGGCTCGGGCCCTGGCATTCCTCGCCCTCGGCTGGGAGGGAGGCTCGGTGTCCTACCTGACCCTACCCGGTAACCAAAACAAAACGTGCACCTGGATGTGCGTGCGCCTTCCGCAGATAATGCGGAGAGGCCCAGAGAAGGCGCTTGGGTTACTCGGTGCCACCTGCCCCGCGCCCAGTAGAGGCCGCGGATCCCGCGCTCGGGGACCAACGGAATCCGCAGGGCCAGAGTAGAGGGTGGGGAGCGGGCACCAGGAGCAGGCCAGCTGCCCCACCGCCTCCGCTCGCGAGCCAGGCACGCTCCCTAGGACTCCCTCACGCCTCACTGCCGGCTTCTCTGTACCCCCCCCCATAAACCCCACACTCCGCCCCCGGCCCAGTTGCCTGGTTTAGGCCCCTCTCCGGATCTACCTCCCACCCGCACCCCCGGTGAGTCACCCTCGCAGACAGCGACGGCGGCTCAGCCTCAGCTCATAAATCAAAGCGCTTTCTGCGCTCCTGGCCCTGCAGCCCAAAGCCCGGGTAATCCTCTTCCCTCGGCATGAAAGCGAACCGACCGCGGGGCACTGCGGGGATGTCGGATCCTATGCTGGGCCAAGTCCCGCAGCGCTTCCAAAACGTCTCTGTTCTACCCTCCTTTGCTGTCCCTCCCAGACTCAGACCAAATGGGAAACCCCCACCACTACCCACCCCCCAACCCCGATTTGGTATTTCTCCCAAGTCAGAGAGATGAGAAACAGGGTCCTGGCTGGAACAGACGGACCAAGGATGTTGGGGAAGGGGTCTAATAGTTAAAAGGCCTCTGAGTGACCCACACCCTTTCCCTCCCACCTCACCAGGGCACTGGATGGTGTTTGTTAAATAGGCCCCTTTGGCTTCCTTTGGATTCAAAGGCGACTGCACATAACTGTTCTTGGGTTGAAAGTGCCTTTTCCTACAACAAGGACAGCCACTTTGTTGAATGAGAGAGTTGTCAGTCTGGTGGAGTAGAAGTTTGGGAGCAGGTGAGAAAATGATCTCTTGTTAACTAACTGACCAAAAAAGAAAAGCTGAACACTTCCCACCTCCTGCTCCTTTGGCAGTTTCATTTACCTCTAAAATAATACTAATCTGAATTGGTTTGAGAGGAGGGGAAGGAGTTCCTAAACAGGAAAGACTGACCACCTCATCTAAGGCGTTTTTTTCTATGGTGTCAGTAGCAGTAAGGACTAGCACTTCTACACTATGAAATCAAATATACATTTCCTCTGTAATGCTGAATTTACATCTTCCAGATCTCTGGACTTTCCTTGAATTTATTGTTATTTTAAATGATTGGGATCTGAGAGTTTATCTTTCCAGATTCTCTGGCTGGTCGGAATCTGCTGAAAGGCCTCTTAGTTTAAATAGGACTAGCAGACACCCTGCTGTGCTTTCCTTAATTACCGATTTTAATGGATTTAGAAGAAGCTGGTTTTCCAAACAAGTGGCACTATGTAGAATGTCATCCCCCTGACCTTCTGATCGTCTTGATTTCCCCCTCCATCCAGTGAGTCAGATGGCAACCCCAGCACTGAAGATGAATCCAGCAAGGGACATGAGGATTTATCTCCTCACCCACTCTCCAGTTCATCTGATGGCGTCACCAACCTCAGCCTTTCCGGTCATATGGAGCCAGTATATATGCAACAAATTGGAAATGCTAAGATATCATTAAGCTCTTCTGGAGTTCTGTTGAATGGAAGCTTGGTACCTGCAAGTACGTCACCTGTCTTCCTTAATGGAAATTCTTTTATTCAGGGACCCAGTGGAGTTATCCTTAATGGATTAAATGTGGGAAATACACAGGCAGTGGCTTTGAACCCACCAAAAATGTCATCAAACATTGTGAGCAATGGTATATCCATGACTGACATACTGGGGTCTACCTCCCAGGATGTGAAGGAATTCAAAGTCCTCCAGAGTTCTGCTGCTAACTCAGCAGCCACCACGTCCTACAGCCCCAGTGTCCCTGTCTCATTCGCAGGGCTGATACCCAGCACTGAGGTGAAAAGAGAAGGCATTCAAACAGTGGCTTCCCAGGATGGGGGCTCTGTAGTGACTTTTACTACACCAGTGCAAATTAACCAGTATGGGATTGTCCAGATCCCCAATTCTGGTGCAAACAGCCAGTTCCTTAATGGGAGCATTGGATTCTCTTCACTGCAGCTGCCCCCTGTGTCAGTGGCAGCTTCACAAGGTAAAAATCTCATTTGGTACCTTAATGCACAAGGAAATGTGTTCATCAGCTGCTGTAAGTGACGCATTTGGTGATAGCTATAGATTGATGTTACGGTTCAGATACCTTATTAGCTGTAGAATAGTCTTAACGTGATTCTCCTCTTTCACAATACCCATGTCATATCCAGCTTGCTTTATTCCCTTTCGTCATGAGGATGGGCTTTTATTTTACTAACAACTGAATGGAAAAATACAGTTCATAGCAAGTCCTGCCAATTCTACAATTACAGAAATATGATGTCAATCAGTGCTTACAAAATAACTCACTGCTTGACATTTTAAGATTAAAAATTAATAAAATTGCTAAGAACACAAAATTAGTCTAGCAGTTGGTAAGAATGCATATACTTTACCTAAGCATTATTTATTTGATGAAAAATGCTTTAGAAGAACAAGCTAAAAAGACTGGATCAACTATGTTTGAATCCTGTTCCTCCTATAATTAAGACTAACAGACCTAAAAGAAAATCAGAGCAATATGCAATTGGGTTTCTATTGCTCAGCACACATATTCACCCCCTAAATGTGTGATTTTATTTATGACGACAATAGTAAGCCTTATTTTGTATGTTTGTGGCTTTACTAACAGCAATCTTCCAGAGAAAGTACTTAACTGAAATTCAGGAAAACTGAGGCGGATATATCAGTTCTTCACTGACTTTAAGCAAGCCTAGATGCTGTTTGTCATTTTCTCTTTAAAGAAATAGGAATGGTTAGAATTTGGCAGTGGAGTTTGCATAATCCCTTGAATTCAGGAGTGGTAGATGTTAATGCATGTTTGCCTTCTTGTAGGCAAATCTGAAAATCCAGATTTTTTTTTTTTTTTTGGAGACAGAGTCTGGCTCTGTTGCCCAGACTAGAGTGCCATGGCACAATCTCTGCTTACTACAACCTCTGCCTCCAGAGTTCAAGCCATTCTCCTACCTCAGCCTTCTGAGTAGCCGGGATTACAGGTGCGCACCACCATGCGCGGCTAATTAGTAGAGACAGGGCTTCACCGTGTTGGTCAGGCTGGTCTCGAACTCCTGACCCCCTGATCTACCCGCCTCAGCCTCCCCAAGTGCTGGGATTACAGGCGTGAGCCACTGCACCTGGCCCCAGATTTTTACAAAAGCAAAATAAGTAATTGCTGACCTTAGAAGTCTGCTTCCTATAAGATGGTTTTACAAAAAAAAAAATCAATTTATGCACAACTCTCTTGTTACCACAACTGTAGTCAATGTCAGTTTATTGAAGGAATTAATGGAAAAATTGTTCTAAATTTCATTCTGTACATTTGCTTTTCTTTAGGCAAAATGGAAGTAAAACAAGACAGTCCTTCAGCATATTATTCAGTTCATCATTGTTCCAACTTATGGAAAGCATTAAGCTAAGTTACTATCCAACATAGGGCAAAAATATGAAAACCACAGGGAAAGCCAAAGGGCTTAGTTTGATAATAATTTAATGTTGATCTAATTTCTTTTATCTCATTAGGAAAATTTCCAAACAGTAGGTCATATTTTAGAGGCAACAAATTTGAGCGGAAAGAATGAGTTATGTATATTGAGGGAGGAGAAAAGCAGAAATACATTTAATTGTGTAATCTAGAAGAGTACTGCTGTAGAAAATTATTATGAACTAATAGCTAAGTTTTTAAATGGGACATTTAATAGGAATAAGAATAGCATTTTCAGTTAAAATAGCTAAGATCAAATGACAAGGTTGTCAATCCTTAGACCATCTGGGTGAGTTGAAGGATAAGTTTAACCAGATGGTTAAGTTTAATCCAGTAAGCAACATCTCTGTATGGTAGTTGGGTACTGCGGTTGTCAATAAAGCATTTTAGGTATTCAGTTTTTTCTCACAAACAGATACTGAGCTATTCTTTAAAATGTCTAGGCAAGATAGACTTACCTTTCTATAGTTGGGATTAATGTAGAAAACTAGAATATCTACCTACATCTTTTACTCACTTTACAGTCTGAGCAACAAGTTTGTTTTGTTTTGTTTTGTTTTGTTTTGTTTGGCAAAGACTCACTTTCTCACCTAGTCTGGAGTACAGTGGTATGATCTCAGCTCACTCCAACCTCTGCCTCCCAAGTTCTAGTGATTCTTTTGCCTCAGCCTCCCAAGTAGCTGGGACTACAGGCATGCATCACCACACCTGGCTAATTTTTGTATCTTTAATAGAGACAGGTTTTCACCGTGTTGGCCAGGCTGGTCTTGAACTCCTGACCTCAGGTGATTCACCCACTTCAGCCTCCCAAAGTGCTGGGATTACAGGCATGAGACACAGCAACTGCCTTAATTTTTTTCATATCATCATTAAAAAGTTCTATGTGGTTTTTCAGTTGGGCTTTTTATCTTATTGTTCAATTTTTTTTTCTTTTTTTTTTTTTGAGACGGAGTTTCACTCATGTTACCCAGGCTGGAGTGCAATGGCACGATCTCGGTTCACCACAACCTCCGCCTCCTGGGTTCAGTAAATTCTCCTGCCTCAGCCTCCTGAGTAGCTGGGATTACAGGCACGCACCACCATGCCCAGCTAATTTTTTGTATTTTTAGTAGAGACGGGGTTTCACCATGTTGACCAGGATGGTCTCGATCTCTTGACCTTGTGATCCACCCGCCTCGGCCTCCCAAAGTGCTGGGATTACAGGCTTGAGCCACCGCGCCCGGCCTTATTGTTCAATTTTTAATTCAATTGTAGTTATGCTCAAAAATCAAATTTTAGATCAAATCTTCTTTTCTCCCTTTTATATATGTTATATTTTCTACAAATTCAGAAACACTTATATTCATTCAGTAGCAGTTGGGGAAAACGTTGCATATATTATGCTATTTATGGCTGTATAAAAAAGATAATCATTTTGTTCATGCATATATTGACAAACAATTTTATAAATATACATGCAACAACATAAACATCACCTTGAGGTTTTTTTTTTTTTTTTTTTTTTTTTTTTTTCCAAAAATCAGCTGCCTAAAAAAATTTTAAAGAGGCTGGGCACGATGGCTCACTCCTGTAATCCCAGCACTTTGGGAAGCCGAAGTGAGTGGATCACAAGGTCAGGAGTTGAGGACCAGACTGGTCAACATGGTGAAACCCCATCTCTACTAAAAATACAAAAATTAGCCGGGTGTGGTCTTGGGCACCTGTAATCCCAGCTACTTGGGAGGCTGTGGCAGAGAGCTGCTTTAACCCAAGAGGCCGAGTTTGCAGTGAGCCGAGATCCTGCCACTGTATTCCAGCCTAGGTGACAGAGTAAGACTCTGCCTCAAAAAACACAAAAAAAAACAAAAATTAGCCGGGTGTGGTGGCACATGCCTATAATCCCAGCTACTTGAGAGGATGAGGCAGGAGAATCACTTGAACTCACCAGGCAGAGGTTGTAGTGAGCCAAGATCATGCCACTGCACTCCAGCCTGAGCAACAAAAGCAAAACTCTGTCTCAAAAAATAAATAGATAAAAAGAATTATAAAGCATACTTAAGTTGAAGTCAGTGTTTTCAAATAAAAGCAGTTTTTTCATATGTGTGGCTTGAAACAAAAGTTTATGTTAGGGAGTAACTGAAACATACCTAGAAATGTTTTTCTTAATGCCAGTATTTCTGTGATTAAACTTTGTAGTTAAATGTTTTAAAGGTGTTCACATATAGTGTCTTCTTATTCCTTAAAGATATTCCTTTGCATTTAGGGTTCTTAAAAATATTTGGAAGACATAAACAGCCCTTTGGCACTTATTTATCATAGAGGTGATAATATAATCACAATATTCTAATAATTCAGGAAGGAAAATGTTTTAGGTGAATGATTACCTTTTAACATTGAGCTGCTCTCTCAAAAAAAGTAGTTTACTGAGTCCAGATGTGGTGTCACACGCCTATAATCCCAACACTTTGAAAGGCCGAGGCAGGAGGTGAGCCCAGGAGTTCCAGACCAGCCAGCCTGGGCAACATAGTGAGACCTCATTTCTACAAAAAATTTAAAAATTAGCTGGGCATTGTGGTGCGTACCTGTAGTCCCAGCTCCCTCGGAGGCTGAGGTGGGAGAGACTGCTTGGACCCAGGAGATTGAGGCTGCATGAGCCACATTCACGTAATCCCAGTACTTTAGGAGGCCAAGGCTGGTGGATCACTTCAGCTCGGGAGTTCGAGAACAGCCTGGCCAACATGGTGAAACCCCATCTTTACTAAAAATACAAAAATTATCCAGGCATGGTGACATGCATTTGTAATCCCAGCTACTCAGAGGTTGAAGCAGGATAATCTCTTGAACCTGGCAGGGGGAGGTTGCAGTGAGCAGAAATCGTGCCACTGCACTCCAGCCTGGGCGACAGAGCAAGACTCTGTCTCCAAAAAAAAGAAAAAAAAAAAAAAGAATTTACTAAACATCTAATTTAAGATCAGGATAAATAGCCCACCTATTATAAGAGTCCCCCCAAAGACCATATTTGAGGTCCTAGATTATCTAATTGCCATCATCTCATGCCTATGTAAAGACTCAGGGGAAAAAAAAGGGTTTTATCTGATGGTAGTGGGAAGTCCAGTTCATCTACATTGTCTGAGTGATCTGATTTGAACATCTCTGCTTTGTACTTAACATTTCTTTTTCTACTTCTGGTCTCTATAGACCATTATTCTGAGAGCTTCAAAAGATACAAACCTTTTAGAGAAGCATTAGCTCTGATCCTTTATGTAAATCCGTATTTTAAAAAGCACATTTCATATTACCATTAATTGTTCCTATTACTATAACACTGAAAATTCAGAACTGGCACAACAAAAGAAAACAAAAGCATTTGAATGTTTTGTTGACTTGACATTACTTTATGGTTAGTTTGGTGAAAGTTTGCAACTTGTCTGTACAGGTTTATATGGTTAAGTTTTAACCACCAGGGTAGCTCATTTTATGTGGTATTTTCTACAATGCCATTTATTTATATTTTATGTCAGTTACTGAGCAGTCAGTCCTGAACGAAGGCATTTCATTTTGCATTTGTATCTTCTGGTTATAACTGTCAGGGCTAGCAATAACTTTCAACTAATTAAGAGATGTCAAGTTGTTAATGATGAAACAGAAACTTGACTGAATCAGAACTTAAGATTTTTTTTTCCCACAGTTGGCTTCTAACTAATAGTTCTCAATCCCTCTTTGTCATCAGAATTACTTGGGAAGGTGGGTACTCTAGAAACCCAGTTCCCACCGTTACTCAATATTCCTGTGTAACAAACATGCACACATGCCCCCTGAATCTAATTTTTTTTAAAGAAAGAGAAATGATAGGCAACAGAATCTTTGACGTGTTCTATCCTCAAGACCACTGGAGGTCATGAGACATAAAAAGTAATGGTTTGGAAGTCACTGTGTTTCCTAAGAAGCTGATGAAAGATGGGGAACATAGGCACACCTGTGACTCAGAAATACAATTAGTTTTTTTGGCTGTGTTGTTGTGGTTAAACAAAATAAAAGATGTCTCTATACAAAAAATATATATATGTATTTACTTGGGGGGTAAAAACAACTGTTCTAAGATGTATTAAGTCATACTTTCAAGAAGAAGAGACTGGGAATCTATAGTTTTAAGTGTTCAAAGTAATACTGAACCAGAATTGGGCTAAATTATTGTATGGAAGTGTTGCTTTTTTATAGATACTCTACCTGAGAAAAAAAACCATGTGTGTAAAACTTTTTTTCTTTCCCTATCACTTCCACCAATGATAATCAGTACTTTATTTTTTCTAGGTAATATTTCAGTAAGTTCAAGCACTTCAGATGGGAGTACATTTACAAGTGAGTCGGCCACAATCCAGCAAGGAAAGGTTTTCTTGAGCTCCCTTGCTCCCAGTGCAGTGGTATACACGGTTCCTAATTCAGGCCAGACTATAGGATCTGTGAAACAGGAAGGCTTGGAGAGGAGCCTGGTATTTTCTCAGTTGATGCCTGTCAATCAGAATGCACAAATAAATGCAAACCTATCTTCTGAAAACATCTCGGGGAGTGGCCTCCATCCACTGGCCTCCTCGTTAGTTAATGTATCTCCAACTCACAGTTTTTCCCTCAGTCCCCCTACACTACTAAATCCCACTGAGCTAAACCCTGACATTGCCGATAGCCAGCCAATGTCTGCACCAGTGGCAAGCAAGTCTACTGTGACATCTGTCAGCAACACTAACTATGCAACTCTTCAGAACTGCTCCCTTATTACTGGTCAAGACCTAATGTCAGTCCCTATGACTCAGGCTGCCCTTGGGGAAATAGTTCCTACAGCTGAAGACCAGGTAGGTCACCCCTCCCCAGCAGTACATGAGGATTTTGTCCGAGAACATCGTTTGGTTCTGCAATCGGTAGCTAACATGAAAGAGAATTTCTTACCAAATTCTGAGAGCAAAGCAACAAGTAGCTTAATGATGCTGGACTCTAAATCCAAGTATGTCCTAGATGGCGTGGTTGATACTGTCTGTGAAGACCTGGAAACAGACAAAAAAGAGCTCGCCAAGCTCCAGACTGTCCAGTTGGATGAAGATATGCAAGACTTATAAACTTTATTTCCTCCTCACCTCTTTTTGGCATCAGCGGCAAATCTTTTCATGAAGCCTCAAGGACACAACACATTTTCCCATTTAAAGGAAAACACTCTAGTTTTGCAAGTATATGCATATGAGAGACTTTAGATTGATCTGCATGAAGATCACACTTAAGTATACAGGAGTAGAACTGCATTATTGCAGCCTTTTTTTCACTTACAATGTTCTCTTTTAAATAGATGGAGACAAAGGAACAAGGTGAAATGTGTCAAGTCAAAGTGAATCATTTAGTTGACTCAATATAACTCTTAAGGTCAAAATGGAACTTGATAGTTTTTAAAATTAAAAATGTATATACCTAACATAGAAAATTAAAGATAGCTGCAGACCATTAGAAATAATACAATTGTTTTTGTTTACTTTTACTTCATGGGCATTGAAAAGGTTAAGAAACATAAATGGTACGTATTTTTAAAGTTAGGTAGCATACATATATATACACACACACACACCTCTCGTTTTCAGCATTTTTAAAGAAAGTCTTGGGTTAAGTCTCAACACATTTCCAAATGTGATTTCTAATAGCTCAGTGTGGCTGAGAAAGTTCGGAACTCCACTAAAAACTCTGAAACTTCAGTATGAATGTAAATATATCAGTTCTGTAAGCAGGATTTGAGTAATTACAGTGAATTTTATTTATACTGTATATGTTTCTCTTCAGGCGCTATGAACTGAAAAAGAAATGTTTTCTTACTGTTTAATTTATTTTTATTGTTTGAACAGGAAGTGAACACAGTTGTTTCCAACAAAGTTATACTTTTTGTAGGATTTTTAAAATAATGATTTTTAAAACCAGGAATCTATTAAGGTCAATATTAATAACACTGAAACAGGAAATCTAACTCCCAATATTGGAATTTTGCTACTTTTTTTCACAACCTTGTTCTTTATTTAGCAACTCTCCAATTCATTTAAATATGTTTTCTATGGAATTCTATGTGCCTTTTTACCTTGTGGCCTTTTATTAGTAGTAAGGTACAGAAGTGTCAACAGAAGCACTGATGGTTCTTTTCTACTCTCTATCTAACAGGGTTAATTTCACCACAAAATTGCTTTAAATCTGAAGAACTTAAGTTTCACCAAATATTATATATGACATTTATTACACAAATGGATAAACAACTAATGATTGTGGATGCTTTCATTATAAGGAAAATAATAAAGTTATAGATACCATGTAAAAGCGATTATACAGGCTATGAAAACCATTTCAAAGTAAAGAAAATATGTAAATTCTGTTAAGCAAAATTCTTTCCTGTTGAAACTTAGTTCTAAATGTTTTGAATCAATTGTTACACTCTGACACATGACTGTTGTTTGCACTATATTGTCATGTCTTCTTTAAAAGTAAATATTTTGGGTTTCTCTAAGAAGCTTGTTTAATAATGTTGTAAGCTGTGGCTATAGTTTTATCAGGACTCTGAACACAGATGAAACAATGCGAATACATTTATGTAGTAAGTAAAGTTACTGTCTAGTCTCTGAAAAGCAAGAAAAGTGAGAAAATAATTTCTTCAGAGATAACTTAAAGTTGCTGAACATAAAAATGTTAGCACATCTTGCTTTTTTCTATGATTAGAACAAAGAGCCCACTCTAGTTCTCTACACGTCAATCAACCAAGCATGTTGAATAAGGGACATAGGGGATTTAACTTTTGTTATTACAAATTGAATTTGCAGGTATATATGAAGAACCCTATGAAGAATTTCTCTCCCATCATTTTGATAAAGAACTACATCATTTTTTGATAGAATTGGTGAATGTTCCTAAACTGCTGACGCTACATGTTTTTTGTTTTACAAGTCACATGTTTTAGAGTTCTTTTCCACTCTACTACTACTTATACAGCTTGTTTTTTCTTTGAGTGTGTGCTGATCCTGTTACTGAGATTAATTACATGGCTCTGTAGTGTAGTTTACATGAAAATGATGTTTTCCACTTGATTGCTGCAGGTATCAAGAGTTTGTTAATTGTTTTCAAATACTCATTCAATAAGAGAAATGGGAAGGTTTTTAAAGTTATATATGCTACATATATATAACTGGAAATGTTTTATATGTTTTCCTAAAATATAATAAGCCTCTCTTTTATTCAGCGTTCTTCCTCTTTCTCCCTTAAGAAAAAGAAAAGATAGCACAAAACTTAAGACTTACCTAGAAAACCTATTCATACTCCCATCATGATGTAATAATAACCCTACAATTACTTCAGGTAGCTATACAATATACCAGGTAAGAATCAATGCATATTGTAAAGAACTTACTGTTCTTTTCTATTCTTTCAATAAAATAAGGGTCAGTTGGTATGTAGCCCATGTATATGTGAATGGAGTAAGATAAACCCCATGATCTCCTTGCACAGAATTGCAAATGTCTTTTGCCATACCAAGGGCCAGACACAGAACCCTTGGAGTTCATATGGCAGAATTTCCCTCTTACATAAACCAATGCTTGAAGATGCTGCAAATGACCCTCTAATGATCCCTGAAGATCAAAATAGGGGTAAATAACTCCCTGCAAAACCCAACCCATGCTGCTGGCTGTGGGATTTTTGGTGTAAGCCTATCTATGCACTCTATCAGCCAGAATTTGGCATTTAGCTCTTAGTTAAATCTAGTAAAGGACAGTCTATTGTTTAAAGAGAGGGTGCAATTGTTCCTCAATCAAGCAAGAGCACCTGTGTTGTACTGCTTTATATCTCATGTATATTTATAGTAATGAAAAGACTTCTTGAATTGTACACATTTCAGTGCCTTTCCAGTGTTATGAAAGGCAGGTAGATATTATAGCCCTAGGTAAGAATCCATAGTTAAATTGCACACTGACCTTAAATCTCTCTGTATATGCCTTGTATCTTGCATGTTAAAAGTTGGATTATTGGGCATGTGTGGCAGCCTGCCCTGCTACATGCTAGACAAGTGCATTAGTATATAGCCACAAGTTCTTCATTCTCTAAAATGTTTTGACAGATCATCTCATAATAAAAATAATTCAAGGAAACTATGGGGAAAAGAATTACATTTCACAAAAGATGTTTTAAACTCTTAGTAAAACTTAGATAATAGAGCTTAGCAGTTACTTTGTATCTAATTGATACATTTCATGTTAATTTACAACCATACATTTTATTAATCAAAATTATATAGCATGTGACTCTTTTGGCTTTCAGGGTTCTCAAAAAAATTATTCTTTTGTTGCATGTACTGTATGTTTAGAAGCAACCAGTTATATACTCAATATGGTTTTACTGTGCCTTACACAAAGAGAAACTCTATACAGAATGTATATCATAGGGTGGGGTAACAGAGTCTTTACTGCACTGTTAGGTGATGGCACACAGAGCATGTCCCAGAACATTTCTGTGCTTAATTACCCAACCAAAGAGATCTAAAGTATGTATGTTGTACTGTAATGGGGGTTTAATGCCTGGACAATTAAGTGTTTTATTTGTTTTCTGAAATGATGTGAACTTATTTTTCTAAACACTATGCTAAATAAACTTTATATTTATACATACCTTGCATTGAAAATTATTTGGGGAATATTGTGTGCGTGTGTGTGTTTTTTAATAAGAGTAACCCATCTTAATAGAAAAGAAACAAATAATATTGGTTTTATTTATCCCTAGAAAAGCGAAGAAGAGGAAGGGAAAAAACAAACATTTCCAAGGCTGACAAATAGTTATGTGGCCAATTGGCATGATTTTGGAAAAATAATCTTTGTCGGTCTTTGTGCAGAATTATGCAATTAATTGTACTGCATACTCAGAGGTAAATTATTAGACTGCATCCTCCATAAAAGGAAGAAGTGTACCTTCTCCTTCCCCACCTTCTTTTTTGCCCAAGAGATGAATGTGATGTTTGGCACACAGCAGTTACTTTGTAGGGTTTAATGGAATTAAATTGAAGGGCCCAAAGACCTATTTTCAACCTTATTGAAAGAGCTCAATATCACCCATCCCTGGGGCACTGCCATTAGCCAGTCTGGTACCACCACAGTTGGGTCCAGCAATAGTTTCACTGAAAGTAACAAGTAGAAAGACATTGCTGCTGACTATGTAGAAAATTTGGCCTTGATACAGTTTGGTCCTAATTTAAAAATTACATGACATCTGATTTTCTATGCTTCTTACAATGAAAGGAAGCGAAGGCTAACAAAGTAGATTGGAAACCAACTGTACAATTCTGCAAAACTAGTTAAAGCCATCAATTTCAGATATTATCTCTAGACTTTTATATTCTTGTCATTCCGCTCATTTATTTAGCAATTTTATATGTAAGTAAACCTTACCAGTTAACATGAGCAATGTTTCAGTCAATGAGTTTAGGGTCCCAGTCATGGAGTGGTTACATTTTAGAACCTTAAACAAACAAAGATTTTTAAACATTTGACGAGATTATTGCTCTACTTAAAACATTGTGGCTCCTCAGAAACTAGCAAATTAAACAAAAACCCTCAATGGGAATTCAAGGCCCTCAGCTAGATGGTTTCCATCCCACTTGTTCACTTGCCCTTAAGAAACAGTAAATGGGCCAAGTACAATGACTTAGGCCTGTAATCTCAGCACTTTGGGAGGAAGAGGCAGGAGGCTGCAGTGAGCTAGGGTGGTGCAGCTGCACTCCAACCTGACTGACAGCAAAATCCTGTATCAAAAAAAAAAAAAAGGAAGAAACAAGAAATGAAAATTTACCTTTGCATATCACCATTTCCAATACAGTAGATAGTAAATAAATAACAAGACACATTCAGATAATGGTCAGTGTTATATAACAAGGAGTAATGAGATTGAGAATGTGAAATGGTAGGGTGGGAGACATACATTAGATTGGTCAAGGAAGTTCTCTGAGGAAGTAACGTTTCAGCGGAGGTAATTGAATCAGGAGAGGAAGCCAGCCAGTAAGACCTAGAAAAGGGCATTCCAGACATAGAGAACAGCAGGTGCAAAGGCCCTGAGAGAGGGACAGAGGGTCTGGATTACAGGGTTAACTCTAGGGGTCATGTGATAAATCTTGTTAGAGAGGTAGGCAAGGGCAGATCACAGGTAGAGCTTTATTGGTCTCAAATAGTTTGAATTTGAGTCTGAGAAGCCACTCATGGCTTGTAAGCAAGGAATAATGTAACATGATTTACACTTTAAAATGTTGCCATGGCTAATCTGGAGAATTGAGTTGCAGGAGGCAGGAGAGCCAGAACTAGGAAACTATTGCAATGTTGTCCTGAGCTGTCAGACAGAAAATACTTCAGGAGCTCTTGAACCGCACAGAGGGCAGTTTGCCCTCCAATTGTCTCCAGAATTTTGTGCTCTGCAAAACTTATGTCTATGCTGCTGCCTGCTGTTAGCCAAAACCACTTACTGCTACCGAGGATGATTGTCACAGCCTGAACCTCCAGGGTGGTAGATCTAGCTCCCTAATAGATATTTTCAAAATGTCCCAGTCTACCTAAGATTCTACATGGAAAATTAAACTCTCATCTCCCTAAGCCTGCCCCATTCTGTGTTGCTCATTTTAGCAACATTTATTCACTGAGATGACCAGGCAAGACATCTGGGATTCACTCTGGAGTCTTCTTTCCCTTTCTTCTCCCCACCTTTATCAGATCACAAGTCTATCCAAGTCTGCTCTTTTTCTGTCTCTTGACTCAGTTTCTTCTCCATTACTAAGGTTACTACTATACTTTACGCATTTATCATTTCTCTACTGAATTATTGCAACTGCTTTCTACACAGTAGCCCAGTATCTGGTCCTCATTTTGGCCACATAGCAACTATATCCAAATGGAACTTTCAGAATTTAAGACATAACCCAGCCTCGTTTTCCACTTTAAAACGTTCCATGGCTCTTCAATTGCCTATGAAATACTGTTTAAACCCTTCACCATACAAAGTCTCCTTGATCCCATCCCTGCCTCTCTGCCTCATCACATCTCTAGCCATATGAAACAGTTCCCCAAAGGAAACAGATTATTTCGTAACAACCCAATCCCCAAGACTCACTCAATGTCACATCTTCAGGAAGCCTTTGTCATATTCTCACAAGTAGAATTGTGCGTAGCCCATTTTGTGATTAGATAAGGATTTATACCTTCCTTTAGTGTGGCACTAATCATACCACTGTAAGTTCATGTTTGCCTCTTTACATGTTTATCTTAGTTTCTCCAGCATTTATTATTATGCATGGGGCATGGTAGACACTTAAAAATTACTTGTTGAATGAATAGTGATGGTACTAGTCATCCATTCCTTTAAATCATTTCATTGCTATGGATTAGGGAACTATATTGCTAAACTGGGTAAAGTATTATCCCTATGTAGAGCACAAAAATAAATTAGTACATTTTGGAGTGGACCCTGATAGTGGTTCCTCAAATATTTTAATATTAGTGAATGGCCTTTATGGTAATCATTTTCATTAGTACGCCAAGGTTTTTGCACTTAACATGCAAGTTTAAAGCTGTGTTCCAGATGACAGAGGTTGGCTAAAGATTGTCAGACAAATGGGACATTAACAAAAATGTAGTTACTGAGCTTTTTTCTTTTTTTTGAGCATTTTTTAGACCAATGTTTTAAAATACCAGTGATGTACAGAAAAGCTATTTATACTTATGTATCTATAAACTTTCTAAACATTTTCTCTGTGGGTATATCCACATTATTTGCATTTGAACTAAGCAGATATCTGAAGAGTCAATGAGGAATAGTAAATGAAACATAGAGGTAGGCACCAAGAAACCTAGATTCTAATTAGCCTTGAGACTTAGGAACTACTGTATCAGTTCACCTCACTGGATGCTGTATTTTTTCTGTGAACTGGGTATGTTAGATATTGTTATAAGATATGAGAAAAAAAGGGTTTAATAAAATTCATTTACCCCTACAGAGTTAAGTTCAAATCAATTACAGAGGGGAAGTACATGGTGATCTGCTAAGAGATGCAAATTAAATATTAAATAATGGGGATGGAGTCAGCAACCTGTGACCCACCAGGATTATTTAGAGGTGTACAGCTAGGTGAGGCCAGTCTGGGTCTACACTTGTCCACCTTCTTCATCTGTATCCACTTTGCCCCCTAATGGGTCTGTCATTTCCTCAAGCATTGGCCTACCTCCCTAAGTGCCTTAAGTGATAATACTGATGTTGATGGTTAACAGTTTTTTTTTTTTTTTTTTTTTGAGATGGAGTCTCATTCTTTTGCTTAGGCTGGAGTGAGGTGGCATGATCTCAGCTCACTGCAACCTCCACCCCCCAGGTTCAAGCGATTCTCCTGTCTCAGCCTCCCAAATACTTGGGATTACAGGCACCCACCACCACGCCTGGCTAAGTTTTGTATTTTTAGTAGAGACAAGGTTTTGCCATGTTGGCCAGGCTGGTCTTGAACTCCTGACCTCAGGTGATCCACCTGTCTCAGCCTCCCAAAATGCTAGGATTATAGGCATGAGCCACTGCATCTGGCTGTAATTTACATTTTTAAGGAAGGCTTTTAAAGACAAACACAAGAGGAACCAGGCTGTAATAATGGCTGATAAATTGTGGATTAGTAAAATTGAGCAAGGAGTAATATGATTTACACTTTAAAATGTAAATAAAAGCCAGTTATTCCCACTGAGGATTTTTCCCTATTTCTAAGTGCAGCAGAGTGTGTGTGTGTGTGTGTGTGTGTGTGTGTGTGTGTGTGTACTTAGGGGACTGGGAGAGAAGGATGGATAAGGGGAGAGGCAGAGAGACTGTCACCCTTTATCCATTTCCTTTTTTGTGTGTACCACTTCCCTACTGGGTATCAAGGCCTAGGCAGTAAAATCTAAGCTGTTGGAGCCTCAGAAAGCAATTAACAGTGTAGTTTCCCCCACACCTATCTTATCCACAGCCTGAAAAAATTTCCTTCCAGATGATTTCTGTGTTGAAAAGATAAGTCATTAGCTATAATGAAACCATAAAAACTAGCCACTAGTCATAGAAAAACAAGGGTTGTTTGGTTGCTGGTTTTTTGGTGTTTGTTGTTTAAGATGTGAATTACTTAGGAGATGTGCAAAAGGAAAACCAAAAATACGTTTTGTTGAAAATTAGGGAACATAATGAATTTTGTATTCACTTTATTTATTTAAAAAGTACATTCTTGCCTGTGTTCTTTATCAAATGAACAACCTTAGCTTGGTATGAGTGCATTACTCACTACTCAGCAAATTGATTTTATTAACACTAAATAGGAATGAGGATGAATTCAATCCTGTCCCTGCATGAATAATCATCAGGGGTCTTAATCTTAAAAGATGTTGGAGGGCCAGGTGCGATGGCTCATGCCTGTAATCCCAGCACTTTGGGAGGCCATGGCAGGTGGATCACTTGGGGTCAGGAGTTCAAGACCAGCCTGACCAACACGGCGAAACCCTGCCTCTACTAAAAATACAAAATTTGGCCAGATGCTGTGGCTGACGCTTGTAATCCCAGCACTTTGGGGGGCCGAAGCAGGCGGATCACGAGGTCAGGAGATCAAGACCATCCCGGTCAACATGGTGAAA